TTCGTTCCCCACCATAGACACCTGCGGTCCAGAGTTTTGCAAATATCTCAGCAACATTGTGGTTGTATTTCGCTTAGTAACCTGCCATGAAAATTATAGAAGGCAGAAAACAAAACGTTAAAACATTGTGATTTCAACTACAGCCATAGCTTAACTGGGTTCTATGCCGATTTGCGCTCCCCAGATCAACCCCGCTGACGGGTGATTGCTGTGGCAAAAAGATCGATTATTAGATCGCAGTTGAAGATTAGCAGTCTTACCTACCAGTGTCATCAGCAGTCACCAAGTAGATAGAAAACTAGTTGAGAGACAGGCGAAATGAAGGACCCTCATGGTGCAGTGGTGAACGCATTAGCCCCGGAAACGGTAATAGCGCATTCGTTCCCCATCGCGGACACCTGCGCTTCAGAGTTTTGCAAACATATCAGCATCTGTGCTTGTGCTTAGACTTAAGGTTCTAATAACGGTAATAGATCAGAATGCGGAGTTGAAAATTCGCAGTCTTCAAGAACAAGCCTTCATCAGTTCTCTTTCATCTTTGAATTGAGATGTTTTGAGAGAATGTTGACTACATGCGAACTAATGATGTCACAACATTTGTGTATAACTCACAGCGAAGCTGTAGAACTCGTGCGCTTCTCTGTCAAGTGCGGTTTTTACCGTTAGACGTCCCAACTGATCGATGTGGAAGACCTCCGACACAATCGGATCCATGACACGGTAGATATACGGTACACGGCTGACCGACACATTGCCGAACACAACGTTTTTCACTATGGATTCCGATACCACGAACCTATAAGATCAATGACGTGGGCCATATAGGAACCGATTCTCTGAGAAAAAACCAGTTTTAATGGAAGTTATCGCGTCGGGAAAGTAGGCAGCCAGAACGCAATAAAATCGTAAATTGTTTTGAGTACTTTTGCTCTTTAGAGTTTAAAAACTTTTAGAAAACGGTAGAAATTTCAAAAAAAAGCTGAAAGGTGCAAAAATTGAGGCGAGGTATTGGAAGAACGCATATTTAGTCGCAATTACGTTAATTCCTATCTAGTTCAGTGTGCTACTGTCAGTAATAAACACCTTGTGACCGCTGCCGGATCTTGCGAGGGAAGTAACATAAAGGTGTACGATGCCTGGCTCTTAAGAAACTCACTCGTAGGACGAATAAGGAAATACAGGCCGACGTTGTAATTCATCATCCTTAGTGACTAAAACACGAACAGGAATTGTCGAAGACATCAGAGGAAAACCGTGATCGCTCGCAATCACAGTCAGCAGGAACTCAACTCCGCTTGTGACGGGAGTGGTCAAGGTCAGCGTTCCTGCAAAAGAGAATGCTCATCGCATAGACCAAAACCGTGGAAAGACTTCATTTTATCGACTTTTCATACTGTAAGTGATATGATACATTGTTACCAAACTCGTGGATATGAGCCAAAAACTTCAGAATTATTACTACTTTTCCATTCCAAGTAAAAAATATTAGTGCGCATGTAACGCCGAAGATAAAGGACATCAGTGTTTCTTTCGAATCTTTGCTCTCATACTTCTTTGTTCTTTACCTCATTTTTTTAAAAAATTAATATTAATATAAAAATAATAAGGCTTTCTTCGTATACTACTGGGTAATTTGCCCTCTGGTAACGTTTGCGTAGTTGAATCCAGAAGTAAAGATGGAAACAGTTTAATATAAAAGTGGAAAAAAGAAGAATGAACAAGAAAACAAGTTAGGTATTCGGTGTACCGTCATTGCTGTCGAGATGGAACGTTCCGTAAGTATCAGCCAACGAATACGAGACCCGACCGTTCTCACCAGAATCACGATCGAAAGCGATCAACTTCACGACCACATTACCAGCCTTGGTTGGCTGAGAAATCTGGAATGACGAAGTTGGAGATGTAATGTCGAAGGCTCCTTATCAGCCATTTCTACTGTTCTTTTTCAGTTATTTTCCCTTTTTCATTTTAGATGAATGCTCAAGGGCCTGGTTAGGAAACGACGAAACTTGCTTCTCGTTATGGCACCACACCACAAATGCTATCAAAAAAAGAACTAATTGCTCGACTAATCACTTTTTTCCTAATCTAATTAACTAATCTAATTATTAACTAATCAGTACTGCGAAGGAATTCATATTAAGATGAAAAAATGAGAAGTATAGCTATTGAAATCTCTTGATAAACATTCCCCCAATGGCTTACCGTCTCATCGTGGATGGGAAGTGTTCCTGGGTGTCGAACTACGACATACAGCGGGTGGATTCATCCCTCCGCAGGGTTCCCCAAACTGAGATGGAGTCCGGCGCTTCCATCTGGAAGCTTAGCTAAGACTAAATTAGTACCAAAACCCATCACCGTTTTGGTATCAGTCTAGTCGAATGATGGCAAATCTCTTTGTGACCAGGCCAGAGTGAGCTCTGAACTCCAGGGAACCACACTAGCTAAACCAGCAAAACTCCGAAAAATGGAGATAATGCTGGGGCCCGCACAAGTGAGGACGGGCCGACCAAGTATCCAAGTAAGTTGGTAAGCATTAGTATGGTGAGTCTGTAGTACAAATTTAGGTGAGAATTACCTTAATGTCAACAAAGTGCTGCTGAAATTCAGGAGCATTATCGTTGACGTCCATGACCACCACTACGAATGATGTCTTGGCGGTAAAATTGCCATCGGTTACCTAAATAATTTCATCGTACATTTGAGTCGTAATTGGAGTAAGATTTTGTTCCATGGGGTCTGCTAATCATTGTTGTTTTATTTATCCCTTTCCTAATTATCTACGATGTCTTAAGAATCGACTTTCAATAAAGCTCGGCAACAAAAATCAATATTTTTCTAGTGATTAAGCTAACACGAGGTTGATATAAAACTTTTATGCAGCTAACGACTTGGCGTCTTCGCCTTTTCAGAGCTGCGTTGATCCGAGATGATGCTCTACAGGTGGTCGTTGCCGCTGGACCTTGACTGCATTCGATCCGCTGTGACAACAAACATCCACGTTTCGATGACGACCAGTTATGGACTATCGTTTCGGATCAACGCGGCTTTGAAGAAAGTGAAGACACCGAAACTTTAGCCAGATGAAAGTTCTATACCAAACTCGTGTCAGCTCAACCCAACAAAAGATTAACTGCAACATGTATTTTATTTGTTTTGTTGTCATATGACCCGAATTCACATGGATCGCACTGTGCGAATCCCAGGTCCTAGAACTGTTTTGCGTGCGGCTTCGATTGCTCCTTGAGGATTTTCGCCTTCGTTAAGAAGACATTTGAGTGCGAGTCGATTCTCCCTAAAATCCTAACATACCCTTGTTAGGGCGTTCCCAAGTGAATCAGAAGGAGTCCGTTGTCCCAGACAAGCCCGGTACTAATTTCTCAATCTCAGGAGTCTGTGACCTTAGTTGCCGGGTGTAGTGTGGAATCAGTGCCAGGGTAAGTTGGGCAGTCAGCGTATTGAGCAGGATCTCTGCCAGTGCTTCCCCCACTCCCAAATTATGCAGAATTATGTTCGGTCTTTACGAATGCACGTCTGAGTTTAATTCTTGTCGAAGAATTGCTCGAAATTGTTCTCCATTACTGTCCTTTTAGAGAATGATATGTCCCTAAAAGATATGGGTTTAAAAACTAAAACAAATAAAAACGTATGGCAAAACTGTCGCACTGAAATGGATGTAGAGAAATTCCCTAAATAAAAAATACGTGAAACTTGTGCTACTTTTAAACTAGCAAACCAAACATTAGGCAAAGTTTTCCAGGTTGCGAGACAACATTAGTAATGGAGTCAACATGAAGATTTCGGCATAAGCGGTGGATTTTGACAAGTACCCACCAGCACATTTACATTAATCTCTTCCACCGTCTCGTAGTCCAAATTCGTAAGCAGATGTATTACTCCGGTGAATCTGAAAGGGAAAATTTTTCAAAATAACCCTGTTTTTAAGTATGATATTTTCAGTCCCTGTATTTGATGTGGCAGATATTTCATTTATATAAAAGTACTCGACACTGAAAGAATGACGACTCAGTAACTAGTTGATAGGGCAAGAATTTTCAAACGGGAGACGAATTTAAAACCATTGACGTTTTCTTACCGATCGATAACGAATCGCTCTTCGTTCGGATCGAGGCTGTACTCCAAAGTAGCGAGGTTGTCAGCATCGTTGGCGACTACGGTAGTGACGTATGAGCCAATCGGAACGGCTGAAATGTGACAGCAATCCGGTACTGTAACAATGAGAAAAATGGTGCAACAGAGAAATGTCGGTACAGCAACTCACTTTCTAAGATCTTTTTCTTGTTAAGGGGTCGAAAAACCGGTGGATTATCGTTAACATTGTGAACTGCAATAAAACTGATCATGGAATACCACTTGTTACCTTACTATTCCTTCCGTAGGAAAAACGTATCAAAAAGCAGTTAGGAAGGAAGAGTAAAGTGACAGTAAAAAAGGCAACAACGTAGTAATAGACCGGCAAGTGATGCGATAGTAATGGAAAAACAAACGGTTGTTAGTGGATACGTGGTTCTTTAATAGCACTTGATCCAAGTGGTATTACTAGAAGCGTTCACTAACCGTCAATGAGTAACCTGGTCCTGATCTGACGGTGGAACGCTCCAGTAGCGATGATCTCCAAGTCGTAGCTCTCCTTAATCTCGTAGTCCAATTCTTGCAGAGTTCGCACCACACCATCGTCGTCAATCTGAAACGGACAATAGAATCGCATATGGTAAAACTCGGTAGATTTTTTTTTTACATTTTCTCTCTTTATTTAAAGGTGTAGGATTGTACAAAACCCAGTTGTAATCACCTAGCTGTCAACACTCGATCTCACCTCAAAGGCGTTGTCCGTGTTCCCTTCGACAATGCTGTAGGTGATTCGAGAATCCCTTGATAACGTCGCTACCTATAACACATAGTATTTATGTCTACTACCGTATTTTTAATGAACTTGCTTTATTTTGCTGGTTCTTCTTTCAGAATTCATTGTTCAACATTTATTTTTTAATCAATGGAATTTCTGTCATTGTATACTCCCCATGCCACCTTAACAGGTTTAACTGATTAATGAGGGTACGTAGTTGCAAATAAAAAGATTCCGAGGAAGAACAGGTGCTTTATGATAGTTAGGTCAACACGCCGTGAAACTTCTTTTTTCATTTAGAACACCGATTTCGATTAGATACATTGTTTTAGGCAAATTCGCACGATTCGCTGATCTTGCGCGGCGAAATGACCCAATTAGTTCAAAGTTTGAAGTTTGGAAGCAAACCAGCTTCAATCGACACAGCTGAACCAACTTTTATTTTTAGCTTTTGTTACCAACTTTCGACACTATTTGCCCAGGTGTTAGGCCTTCATCGATCATCGCCACATATTTTTGCCTCAAGAAACTTGGTGCCATCTCCAGCCTTTCCGTTTCAGAACGGGAATTCTGGATTGTGAGTAGTCGATCCGTGCCGAGAGACGGACGTCCTTTGTCGTACGCCTTCACACGAATCATCCAGTCCTTTCCAATACCCAGAGGCTCTCTGAATAGTGTAGAAACGATAATTTTTCGACTAAATATATGATAGAGATTGTTTTTGGATAGCATTTGATGGAAAGAGAAGCTATCGAAAACTACACCCAAATGCGAATAGTTTGACTTTGTAGTTGCTCTGGTTAGAGATTACGGCTCTAACGACATAATGTATAGCAATCTTTTCCAAATCATTTTCCAAAGGCAGTTGTGCCTTCCCACATTCTATCCTTTGCTTCTCCTTTCATTTCTTTGCATTATATGTATACATCCTAGGCTCTTTGACCCTTAAGAACTACGTGCAACGCTGCTTCTTTGATTCCTAAGCCTTTTCAAGTCATACTGATTTAATAAAACTTGATTTTAAGCTTGCAATTCAGTTCGATGAGATACAGTTTGCGCTTCGACTGTAACTGCTTCCTTGTTCAGCAATCGCGAGGTTTTTAAACAGCATACATTTACTTCCATAAAGAAACACAATACAATACTACACTAGCTGACGTATCGGCACCATCGCCTTCTTCACAGCCTGGAAGGGTACGCTGATATACAATCTACTAGGCCAACACTTACAAAAAGACGAAAAACTCTATAATTTGCCACTACGGCAGGGACGGTGATTGCATGAGTTCAGGTACGATATACCTTATCTCTAGGCGGGGATGAATATATTGGCGAAACGGGCAAACCTTTGTGTATCCGTATGAAAGAACACCTAGATGGCAAACGAAAACTAAGACGAAGTACCCCACTAGGCACGCATAGGATACAAAAGCATAGCGCAGACGATTTTGAAGTAGAAGTCAATATCCTTGCATAGGAGATTAAAACACCAGCGCGAAAACTTCTCGAGGCTTTTTGGATAAATGCCAAAATGAATAGCAGGGATGAACGCCCAGAGGTCATACGCAACCTAACCCCGTATGTTCGCATCAATTTCTGATGTGGGATGATGCCACATGATGTCACCAACCATATGCGACTATAATCAGCTGTTCTAATCTTCTTTATTGGAAGTCACGTAAAAAGCGGTGGGCTTCTCACGAAGCTGTAATTACCATAGAGTTTTTCGTCTTTTTGTAGGTGTTATTGAAGCGTTTGGTTTAGTAGATTGTATATCAGTTTACCCTTCCAAGGTCTGAAGAAGGCGATTCTGCCGAAACGTCAGCTAGTGTTGTATTGTATTGTGTTTTTCTATGGAAGTAAATGTATGCTGTTTAAAACCCTCGCGATTGCTGGACAAGAAAACGACGAATTCATATTTCAATGCCGAGATTAATAGAAAGTCGATCCTGTGTAACTGTTTCCATCTTTTTCATAAAGGAAGGTCTTCATCTTTCGGATTCCACGAATTTCTAGCACATTCCTCTACAAAGAATAAAATACTGGAAGGACTTATCTATTAGAATCATGCTACTGGTTCAAGCAGTTTTAATATATCGCTGCGCGCTCCCTGAGTTAATTGGACGATAGCGGTAGTATAAAATATAAGGCTAGGGTAAAACGAAAATATAAAACTGCTTAGGTCCTGATAAATACGTGATTGTTCTCATAACACAGGTTGCACCTCATAAAGAGCAGTTCGCCGGATTCCGGATTGAGATCGAACGCATTGCTAGGGTCTTCGACGAGCTCGAACAGCACTGATCCACCACCGCCGATGTCATTGTCGAAGGCAATGAATCTGAAACTCTTTATCCGAAAGAAATTCCGTGAGCGCGTGCTCTTTTTTGCTAGAAAAGCAACGGATGTCCTGACAATGAATGCGATGCTCAACTCCGATTTCTGCCTTCAACCAAGGTCACCTACAGGAATACGCAAAGTTTACTTAAGGAACACAACAAAATTATTGAAATAAAAAGTATCACATGCGTTTTCACATAATACCTCAGACTGGTATTTTCCTCGAGAGCGGCTAACTATCTATCCTGTGAACTCTGTAGGGTATTAAGCGAAATGCAACCACAAGATTGCTGAAATATTTGCAAGACTCCGGATCGCAGGTTCTGTGATGAGGAACGAACGCGCTATTGTCCTTTGCGGGAAGTGACGCGTTCACCACCACACCATGCGGGTCCTTCGTTTCGCTTGTCTCCCAGCTAGTTCTATCGATCTTTAGCCGTCGGCAATCACCAGTTAGCAGGATTGATCTGAGGAGCCCACATCGGAAACATTGTGAATTTAACTGCAGCCTCAGCTTAACTGGGTTCAATGCCGATTTCAGCCCCCCAGATAATCCCGTTGACGGGTGACTACTGATGGCACTGATCGATAGAACTAGCTAAGAAACGAGCAAAGCAAAGGACCTGCATGGTGTGGTGGTGAACGCGTTACTCCCCGGAAAGAACAATAGCGCGTTCGTTCCTCACCGCAGGCACCTGCGGTCCGAAGTTTTGCAAATATCTCAGCAATTTTGTGGTTGCATTTCGCTTGATACCCTACCACAAAAATTATAGAAGGCAAAAAAGAAAAAGTAAACATTTTGAATTCTGTAGGGTGTCGTCTTCTCATGCGGAATACTAAGTAGTAGACTCATGGAAAACTATATGTAGAGGTGCCTCGACTCCACTACTATCAAAATCATTGTTTTCTTGACAGGTACACAACAGATTGTTACTATACCCTTTATTCAAAGCTAAGTATCATTTTATTTTTGTTGAGGTTATGATTGCATGCGTTCTTTCCTTGACAAACTTACATTAGGTTGATACACGATATTCATTCGGCAGACGTTTCGACATCTTCGTCCATATATCAAGCTCGTTTAAGCTTATCAAATAAAGATCACATATTGATTCGTCATACTGAAGATAAGTCATACCGTTCTGCCGTTCTGTATGCCAAGTAGTCGAAGATAAGGTGGGCCGGTGTACAAGAGCCGTTAGTGACTGGGTTCCTCGGGATGTTAAACATACTGCAAAAAGACCACCGACCCGATGGTCAGAGTTCTTCACAAAGATTCTAGAATAATGACGCTCGACGAATCCCTAGAGCGAGCAGAAAGCACTGGGCAACTCTTTCATGCGACAGGGAAAAACGGAAGATTTACTGGCGCCCGCTCGAGTCACTCGACAATCAACGGGACTACAGGTGATATGGGTGAGGTGATACCGAGAGTAAAAGAAAAAAAGGGCTTTGAACTATTGTTATTACGGTATTTATTTCAATAGAATGCGGCTAACTTGACCTTCTAAAGTCCAAAGAAGGCTACATTCGCCGAATCGTTGGCTATTGTCGATAAGAAGTATAATAACAACTGCGTGTGTGCTTATCAAGAAAACAGTGAAATACTAACCAAATTACAGAATAACTTCAAGAGTGAAAACAGAACCAACGGTAGTCAGTAAGAAATTTTTCAAAGGAGGACCATTATAAAAACACACATCAAACTCAGAAAAAAATGTATCAAGCAGTAGATTTGCATCAAAAGTTTCCTAAAAACATGTCTTTTTTTTCATGGATACACTCTTTGAGGATCGTCGTTTGACCATGATTTGAATGACAGAACGGTATCATTGATGCTCGATACTTGATACTTGAATGCCCCGTCCACACTGGTTGTGCGGGCCTCAGCACAATCTCCACTTTTCGGAGAATTGCTGGTTAAGCCATTGTGGTTCTCTGGAATCCCAAGGAGAGCTTGCCCAAGTCTGCCCCAGGTTGTCACCACTACAGGCAGTCGCAGTCCTCCCATCCATCGTCCACTAAGGTCCTCCAAATTTTATTTAAAGTTTCGGCTGCTGCTTGAAGACTTCATTTTGAAAGTCGTAGAATGCTGGTCGAATCGATTCTTCATGGAGTCCTGAGATAACCGGGTTAGACCGTTCTAATGAATTTCAGAGTTTTTTTTTTTCGGAAAAGTCCAGTAGCAATTTTCTGACACCGGTGGGACGAAAGGCTTGGTGAGACCAAGGAGGGATCTAGCCAGCACCGTGCTCCGGACGAACAGCACCACTACAACTGTGCTGTTCGCCTCTTCATTTTTGATTATCGATACTTTTTCACCTACTACAATGTACCATTGCAAGCAATGAAAAACTGCTCGCACACATGAAATAAGCAATAGGACGGCAGGCCGAGCTATCTATCCAAGATCGCCCAATTGGTGACTGATTCATCAACGGGCGAGAGATAGATAGATAGATAGAGAGAGAAATAGAGAAAAATGAAAACAAATTCACGCAGATATTTTTTCATACAATTATCTGCCACTATAAGTGTTGTGATATAATCCAATGGTAATAATTAACTACAGAACCTTCGCCTTGACTTGAGCAAAACTTCATAGCAATGCTTTCTCTGCCTTCTCAATGACGCAGTTCATACAGAGTATTCTGTGATTGCACCAGAAAAGAATGATACATATCGGTTAAACGACAGGAATGTTATTTGCGTGGAAACGTAGGTCCTTACGAGATTCCTGCACCTTAGAAAATGTAGTAGACCAGTTCTAAAACTGGTGGACTCCAAAAATCCGCTCCTGCCTATTCTATGCATAAAAAATCTCTGCCACTCTGCCATGGATGTGATACATGTGCTATCAACTTAACCACACGGAGAATTCTATGGAATACTCACAGAATGGAGGGACGGGAATCGACGCTCATAAAACATTGAACTACGCTTCTCTACTATTCTGTCTTCAAGTTCCAGTGTTACATAAATAAAAAAAAATAAAAAAAAACAAGAAAAGTAGATCCGGTGAAGAGGTGACGGTAAGGCAACGACTAAGAAGGTGGTAGACGGTCAACTACGGATACCAACTAGGTCACGTAAACGAAAGATAATCGAAGGCGCAAATGACATGTAGGTATCGATATAAACGGACATAATACAAGTCATCACCATTGATGAAGATTAAGAATGAATGAAACGAATGGCAATTATCGGAAAAGTAGAACCACGAAATGTGTTAACAAAAATGGTACACATAGAGAGAGATTTATAAAAGCCGAGCACCTGTAGATGAGATCACGAACTTCCACGGTGTCATTGATGTTGATCACCTGTGGAGTTGACGGTGAAAATTGTGGGCTGTTGTCGTTAACGTCCGACACCGTAATCTGCACAGAACAAGAATCCTGAAAGACAAATCCGTTTTCACGGATTTCCAACACAAAGTGTAGGTTATTCGCTCCGCCTGAATGCCTAATTACATGTTCACTTCCACTATTTTATAGAATTACGACTTAAGATAACTGTAAATAAACTGGAATTTATTTTCAACTTAAGTGATTTAAAATTAAAAAAAGAAAATAAAAAAACAACCAAATCAATCAAGAAATCTCACCGACATCTGTCCTTCAAATATTTCGATGGCCAACAAATGATCTGAATGATGTTCTCGATCCAATGGAATAGACGACAATTTTCCCGTCAGCGGATCAATGTCGAAAAATTTGCTGGACCCTAAGCATGAATTCGACTAATAGAAAATTTATTATTTTATTTACTAACTGAAATTATTAGTCTAGTAGACCGAAAACGAAGAACAGAGTTCGATAACAGTGAAAATAAAAATCGATTTTTTAATAACCAAAACAAAACTCAGTTTTTTCCCTCGTAACAAATCAATTTGTACCCATAAATGAACGACAAAAACGACGTTACCTTTAATTCTGAACCTAGAATTTTTAGATGCATTTAATGGCACAATTTGTTTGAAATCATTCAGCACACGATTCTCAGGTACGGTAATCGATCCGCAGGACGCGGAGCTGATCCGCGGTGCGGTTGTCGTGGAAGCCGAGACATGGACTGCCAATAACAGCGCGTCGACGTCGCCGTCAGGGGATTTCGCCAGGACTGCAAACTCAGAATGAACATCTAGTTTTATTAAGTCCAACAAGCAGAGTTAATTCTAGCGGAAATAAAAATATCGGACTCGTAATAAGAAAGATCGTACCATGCAAGACATAATTTCCTGGAATCAACGTGCCAAGCAAAGTGATTTTTCCAGATTCATCAATTTCGAAAATGGACGTGCTGGGAAAAAGACGAATGGCAGCTCTTCCTTAAACTTCCATATCTTTTAGGTTCTACCTCATTCTCTACCTTTTTCGTTTCTTCTTTTTCATGTTTCAACTATTGACCATTTTCCTTTAAAAAAATTCGTAATCACTAAGTGCAACAGCTTATACCTTCGTGTTCCTAAAAAATTGTGATCTTTAAGTGTTTTTCGAGCCGTTGTTATAAACAAGTGAATAGGAAAAAGGAAATAGGACGTACCATCTAAATTCAACGCCTTAATGACTGTACCGACAGGTGTCGTGTCTGTAATCTCCACGTCCAGTTCATCTTCAGAAAAATACCTCCAGTTCTTTGTGCCATCGTATATCCTTTAAAAACTATTTCAGGCTAGTAAAGGTACTACTTCGACTACTAATCTACCGTATCGTAATTGCCTGATCCACGAAAAGTGCTGGCGATCCACCATCTGATGCTCTAACGACGACTGACGAATTCGTTGACGAAGGATGGCGAAGCATCAACAACGCTCCTACGAGTTCATTTTTCATCCAAGCAAATATTAATTCTTAAGAAAATTCATTGGTTTAACAAAATTTAGATCCAACTGATCTAAGTGTGTAAAACTAGATACGAATTTAGCCACAGTAGCGCAACAATACTGCTCTTTTCTGTGCATACGACCACCACAGTGCAAGAAATACTGTAAGAAGACACTAGATACACCGTAAGAACTACACGAATATGTGGACTGAAGCAGAACTGCATCCAAAAATCAGTTAGTGAAATTCTTTTCAATAAAAGAATGTTCTCTTTGTTCAGCTGCACATACCGGTCTTATGGTCGATGTCAAAACAGTTCGACGGATCGGAGATGATTTCGAAGGTGATGGTTGCGTGACTACCGTAGTCCTCGTCGACGGCGACGACATGGTGGATAACTCGGTTAGTTCCTGTACCGAACACCATCACTTCGCTGGTACTGCAATGAGATTCTCTAGATTTATCCTAAAATATTCGTTATGCTATTACCCTTTAATGATGAGCATGGATTTCAATTTACTATTTTGGTAGTTTTAAAACTAAAATTTCCCCAGTGAATTACAAACTTTGAATTTTGACTTGATGATCGAGTATTTCCTTTGTTGAAAATTCGTCACCTTCCTTATTTCAATGTTAATAGAAGACTAAGAAAGAAACTGTGAAACACGCATTTAGCACGAATGGTAAAATTAGATGTTATAGCACGAACCAAGGTAAAGACGACTTATTACCTCCTCTTAACTATTCATCTAAACTTTCCTGGCTTAGAAATTAAAGACTGTCTATTTCAAGCGTCACTCATTTGTTAATGCTAACAGTAAAAATACAACGCTCTTTCACTTTCATATGAACGATACCGGCCAGTGGCAGGGCTACCGAACATGTCTCCAAATGGCGGATATTGAGTTAAACGAGGGCTACAAACGACCAACCACGCAAATGGTTTTGCCCTTGGGAGGAGTGGAACAAGCTAAGCATGAATATATAATAAACTCCACATTTCGATGTGGCGAGTTACTAAACTCTTAGAAAATGAAAATCAGCAATTCCCAAAACCAGGTTGGAGTCAAGCTGACTTTTCCAGGCTCTGAGTAAAGCGAAATCCGCCGAAACGCCAGCTTTGCCGTAATGAAGAATAAAGTAACGCCTAGGGTTTACTTACACAAGGATAAAGGATAAAGCATAAAGCTTTCGGCTTTAATCAATCCCTGAGGGATGCGCCATGCATTCGCCGTCATTAAGCATCGTTTGGAGGTGAATGGATGCATATCTGGCCTTTACAATAACTGGCAGTAGCCTACCGATGTATCGAGCCAGTGCTGCTATTCTCCCAGACAAGTTTGGTACCAATTTGCTGATCCCGGAGGGATGGAAGGCTTGGTGGCCCATGTGCGTGCGGATTGACTCCACGTGTGCGTTGCAGTGGCGCCTCCAACCACTGCGCCACACGCGCCCTTACTTGACAACGATAGAGTGAAAAATTAGCATTTGTTACGTTGAATTCTCAATTATAACTACTTTTGGTAGCCATTATTAAAATCATGTGCCTCTTCCATCTAAATAGTCAGCAGCAATCGATTGAGAATTCTAAATTTAGAAATGCATGATGGTACGCAAAATATTAACTGATATGATACACATCGCATGCTCAGATCCAAATATATATAAACCAAAAAAGATAACATTATTAACATATAACATATAACGAGATAACAAAAAGATAACATAACAAGCATTAGAGCTTTTAATTAGGGGAATCATTGCAATTAAGAGTTAGCGTAGAAAGAAGCGGTGAAAAGAAGAAACAGGGGAAAGGAAAGGGAGAGATATGGTGGTAAAGGATAAAAGAATAAAGCTCTCGGCCTTGATCAATCCCTGAGGGATGAGCTATGCATTCAACTTCATTAAGCATCGTCTGGAGGTGATTGAATGCATATCTGGCTTTTGCGAGCTGCAGGGCGCTTTCGACCGCTGCGCCACACGCGTCCTTAGGAATGGTGATACAAGCAAAAACAATGATAAAGAGGTAGAGAGAAAAAAGACGGAAGGAGAAAAAGCAACAAAAATGAGGGAAAAATACTGGACCAAAACGCCGGATTTCATGAGGATAATGTGATCGACAAACCTGAGGATTACCGGATGGTGGTTGTTTACATCTTCGACGTGCACAACAAGCAGAACATTTGCCTTGGCGCCGGCGGTCGACGCCACAGCGACAAGATGGTAAGGAGACTGAAATTTGCCATTAAAGAAGGCTTTCATTTCATTCATTTTCATCCTTTATTTTGTTATTTCAACTCAACTTATTTTGTTGTTATTTTGTCCAATTGTTTATTCTTGTCCCTATTCTGTTTCGTATGTCTGCTTCTGTTAGCAGTCCGTCACATCCAATAAAATTTACCTCCTTCCAATGCAAATTCTCAACAATAGCCACATCGCCCGAGTATTGATCGATGAAAAATCGATTGCTCGGCTCCAAGAAGCTGTACAACGGTGGAGTAGATGGATCGGAACTTGTAACATTCACTGTGACGATGACAGTTCCTTAACAGGATCAAGAATTAAACGAATGGGAGGGTAGAGGAATGAACACGGCGCGAGAGAACAAAAGCAATTCGAATCTGCAATGATCTGCCGTGCTATAGGATCTTGGGTCGCTGGTTCGATCCCACAAAAATTTAATACGAATTCAATCACTCAGAGGTCAATCAATTTGTATGAAATCCATGAATCAAAATACAAGCTTTCTACTGGTTAGGTTTAAAAATTCGCCAAATTTGGCGGACTTATTAGGAATGGGATGAGGTGATACTTCTCTACAAAGTCTCAATGAAGATTTAAGCAAAATTCAGTTGCCAATTTGCTACTGTTGGAATAATTGCTGTACGTTCAACAGCTTTCTAGCTTAAAAAAGAGTTAGTGCTCAGATAATGACCAATCTTTACTCTTTTTTTGAAGAAGAAATCTCAAAAACAAAGAAGACGTGGACTTACCAATCACAGCGGTCTCGGACACATTGACGTGGAGAACTTCTTCACTTAAATAAGGCACAGCGGCGCCACTGTGCCCTATGTCGAAGGTGATCTGCTTCTCCTCCTTCCCGAAAACTCTGCCGTCAATCTCCCAGTAGAGCACGGATATCTGCTGTCCGGCCAGATCGCGAATTTTTCGGATTAGATATAGGTCACCGTTGGCTTCGTCCATTTCAAACAACGATGACTGCAAGCAACGATCATGAACTTGTTTGTTTATTGTACTATGAAGCTGGGTTTCTGGTAAAATTGTCACATATAGTCATTCAAGATAACAATGTGTATTTATAAATCACTGTTTACTTTACTACTTCATTTACTCTATTAGTACTTTTTACAGGTTCCATTGTTACATCCTTTACTTTGTTCAGAACACAAATAATTATTTCATTTCCACGGAAACTATCGTTTCTTTACAACATGAAAAACATCCATCTCAATAATGGTTATGCCGCCGATCCTTTCTTTTCACTTAAGACATCACCTGTATCACCTGTAGTACCGTTGATCGTCGAGTGACTGGAACGGACACCAGTAAATCTTCCATCTTTGCCTATCGTATTCAAAAGTAGTCCAGTGGGTTCTGCTCGCTCTAGGGACTCGTTGAGCAGCGTACCTTTCTTCTAGGGTTTTTGTGAAGAACTCTCACCATCGCGTCGGTGGTCTTTTTGCAGTGCTTTTGACATCCCGAGGAGTCCAATCACTAACGGTTCTCGTCCATCGGTTGTCATTCATACGCATTACGTGTCCGGCCCACCCAATCTTAAGACATTCAAAACCAAGATTTTTTTGAACCTACTCTGTCTACGTGTACTACATTTTACGTTAAACCAAAAAATGAAAAGCGCTTATATTTTTTTTTGAGCAAACGCGAGGTGTTATTGTTCTTTGTTCACGATTAAGCTGACGTTTCGGCGAATTTCGCCTTCTTCAGAGCCTGGAAAGGTCAAGTTGATAGCAACTCACTCGGCCAGACGCCTCCATAACCAAACAAAGAAACCCCAAACCAAGATTTCAATCACTTTGAACACAGCTTTGCACACTCACCGCTTTCTATGAGGTCTCCACTAAGTATGTCACGTAGAGACCAACCGCACAGAAGTTTCTGGATCGTCTACGTACTGCGCAGCCCAACAGCGCGTGCGTGATAGAGTCCTTCGACGTTACCGCCCTTTATACAA